CGAGCCGGCCGGACGGTGGCGGCGGCGTGCGCGTGTGGGTTTATGACCGAACCCAATAGGATATAGGTCTTCCCCCTTCCAAAGACTATTAGTACCCCTTAGGGCCCAAACCCAATTCCAAACTTCCACCTTATAAACCACACCAAAGTTTCCTAACTTTCCTATGTGGGATAAGTGTTTGGAAAATCAAATTCTTCCATAATCCTTAGTTTATGTTGGTTATTTTAACACTTAATATTTCATTCAATTTTAAATGGTTTTCGATAAATAAATATATCACGTTAATCATCTCGTGGAGTAGAACGTGAATATGCTAGGTCCCGTATTAATTAAAAGGTGGGTCCCACTGAAATTTGGGCTCAAAGTTGACCCATTAACCATTTTTTCCAACATTTTCCACAATATTTTCATTGATAATTGTACTTTCTACTAGAGGTGGAGTTGAACTTACATCAAGTAAATTGTAATACTTGTGTTACAATGTAATTGGCCACCACCATAGTCATGTAGATCCAAGACAGCAAGTAAACTGTAATACTCGTGTTTCCATGTGTAATGTTCAAATGGTACACGATTCGATATTAAAAAGAAGAAATGAAGATCTAAAATAATATTCATATCTGGTTTGTGAAATCATCAAAGTTATACACATTTTTGAGCCAGTCAAAGTGAGAATGGTTGAACACAAAGGGTGACATAATCTATGACAGCTCAAGGAACTAACTTGAAATGGTCATGGCAATGTAAACAACAGGTATTTTAAACAAGGGACTTTGAGAAGCATAAACAATGAAAATAATTCCAAGTTCAATTGCCTTTACAAAATGCTTGTGAGCATATAAATTAAAATTTTGAGCAAGGCTCTTATGTTGCACAATAAAACCACAACCAGTAACTTGTTACTTAGCACCCCATGAATAATAGTTCGGCCAAAGAAACGCACAAGAATTCTGATTGAGAAGGTGTAGAGAAATGAAGCAAGTTGTAACTACATTGTAATAAAATTCAAAACTGCTGGAAGAACCCATATTCCAGTGATTTCTCCACAATCATTGGGAGGGTGGTGAAAACACCAATTTGAATGACAAACTGTTGATTTAAGACTGCACCAAGGGCTTTATTATTGTTGGAATTGGCTCTGCTTGGATATTTTCCTATACTTCACCGAGGGCAAGATAGAAAAGTTCGAAATGCGTAGACCATGATCACAACCATGAGCCCAAAAAAAAAAAAATCAAAATCAAAAATTTTTGTGAAGTCACCTGACCCCATGTAGGCCTACCCATGATTTCTACAATGCATTTTGTCAGCTATGAAATTTTTTGATATAGTGAAAACTAAGGTCAAAATTGCTATATATGCCTTTGTTTGAGCCACATTATTATGAAATGTGTAGTTAAAAAATAAGAAAAATTTTTGAATTTGCAATTAGTATTATTTTATTGAAAAATATGTAGTTAAAATGATATCAAATCACTATTTAAGAATATTTTTTTTAAAGAATGTTGGTCAAACAAAGGCTATAAATATTCGTTATCTTCATTATTAATCTCGTCTCTTTTTAATGGTTCACGACAGAGCGACAAAAGATGTAATGATTTGATAAGTATAATAATTAATTAGAGTCATTTTAAAGTTCAGTACTGAAAAATGAACATTATTAATAAAATAAAGGAATAATTTGTACATTTAACCCACCACACCTTAGCCCCCGTTTGATCACCATTTTTTCCTCTAAAATCCATTTTTTCGTCTGCCACGGTGGGATTGACTGTCGCTGAAAGTCTATGGTATCCATCATCAACACTTGAACATTTGTCATTTTGCTGTTGTCGTTTTTGTGTTAAAAGGGGACAAACCAGCAGCCTCAGATATTTCAAAGGCGACTGCAAAATTTGAATTTCTACATCATTCTGAGGAAAAAAATGTAAACCAACAGAAAATCACATGCAGCCATTGTGGCGAAGCAGAAAAAAGCGTTACATTCCCCAAAAAAAAAATAATGACTGAGGAAAAAAAAAAGATATTCTACTAGCCACACGTGAAAGGCCAACGTCACATTACAATTTTTTTAACCCATTCTTCTTCGATCCCGCAACACGTGACCTGAAATAAAAATCACAAATGCCCGACAAACGGAGCTGTCGTGATTACAAATCGTCTAGAGGTTTCCATCAAGGCATACCACTTCATATTTTTCGTATGTACATTTCACAAAACTCAACATCGTCATTGTTGCTGTGCCATGTAATCGTGCAATCTTTCCCACTCACTTCACCGCATTTCAGGTGCATTCATCTCACCGTGCATTTCGTTCTCCACGGTCCGCAGCTCTACCTTGGCGACATCATCATCCTCTATGTCTGCTCGTCGAAAGGCCTCGTCCAAAAACCTAAAACGATGTAAGAAGTTGTGAACACCATTGTCGCTACGACCACAGCCACCTCCATCAGAAACGGGTAGCTTGGCATACGATCAAGAATTTTCCACCTCTGTTTCCACACACCTAAAACAAGTTCGATGAAGTTTCTGTAAGACGATTGTTTGAAGTTAAATTTCTTACGAGCATTTCGGAACCTCTTGCGCTTGTATGTTCACTCGTTGCGGAATTGTTGGAAATGTTACAACATATTGGATCCTTTGTAAAGTACCATGTACCCCGGACCATGTGTAAATCTCAAGCCACCAAATATTACTTACCCAATGCCAACAGCGAAAAATATATCATCGGACTGTGTATAGCACGAGCTAGTATTCATACATCATATAAATTGCACACTGTGTCAGCGAGCTCAAAGTGTAGCATAAATTGAAGTTGCAAGCTACTAACACATTCTACATGGGGAACCCTTTTCATCTTATAAAGCTGACACGCTCGTGACGTGATAACACAACCTTGACATGGGTTCCATCAATAGCCAATATAGTCCTGAAATAGTAGGTGCTTATTCGGGTCTGGCCTATACAACTCCACACCATTGTTGTAGTTAGGATTTGGCCATATCAGACATCGGGCTAACGCAACAACGGCACAGAGTACCTATTTGAAGTAGCAACGTACCGTTTGTAGAGAATGATTGAAATCATCGTCACCTAACGATAGCCCTTCCCATGTTCCAATACGCACAGGAACATACTGACCTGCTCAAAAATATCTATCTGCTTGCTAGTGGAGAAACTGTATTCGTCGCGCAACATATGTGTGAAATGTCGCAACATGGCGAGTACATGCGAAATTCTTGATAACACATATGTCCATTACCGTATAATGCCTCCTTCATGAACATGTGGTTGTTTCTTGTAAATAGAAATCTTCGAATACGACGATGCTGTGCTTGATAGTAGCTCCTTGCATCGATGTCCGCTACTCTGTAGTATTCTGCCCACGCCGTGACATCTACGGCCAGCGCATTACAAAACTCCTCTTCGCCAGCTTCTTCTTCCTCGTCGAAGTACAGAAAAAAACACACAATTGAAGTCGAGATCATCCATTATGTGACGTAAGTTGAAGGGAAGAAGATTTTTTACTGGAGTGAATGAACATTACAGGGAGTGAAAAACTAGTTATGAAATTGTTGCAACTACGCGTATTGTTGTTCTATGCGGGGGCAAACCAATTTGTAGAGGTAGGTACCATTATTGCATTGAGTGAACTTTCACACAAAGGCTGCAAGAAGTTGTCATCCGTTAAACATGCATAAGTTCATATTTGACCTATGTGCCAGTTACTAAAGATTCTCTAACTATGACAAATGAACTGCAATCATTTAACACATCACTGCAATGCATTTTTTAGTTGTCGAACGAAAGGTAATATGGTAAATGAAAATGTGAAAAAAATAATAACATAACAAATCGCCCTCGAAGATGGTACGCTTATGACGGAATGCATACGATACTATACCAAGTGTTCAGTAAGTTAAAAAGTTAATTACACACGTTGGTAGGGTAGAAAAAGAAAACACTAATGCAATGATTTGTTACACTCATTAAACTACTACTCGAGCCACTCAAATTTTTCATCGGCATCCTTCATGACACCGAGCATGTCCTGATATCACTTTAGCAGTGTATAAACGTAGAAGTACAGTGGTGTTCAGTGCTCAAGTCAACCGATGGATAGCAACTCCTTGACACACGCAACCTTTGCATTGTCATCTGGGGCAATGATGGCGTTTATCTTTGTCACAACTTCTTCAGCGGCATTGTTGGCACGATCGATGGAGAAGGAAAGCTCATGAGCAGAAACATTATTCTTCTTACTCTTTCGCTTCTGCGTGAACGACTTCCTTTTTCCACCGCTTCGGGCATAGGAAACATTGACAGTGGACTTGGCCCTACCCTCGTCGCCCTCGTCACTCGAGCCACTACCTTCCTCGTTAACCCGTATGGCATCTTAATAGTCATCTAGAGTAGAATCTTCAAACATATCAAACCCTATTCTACAAAGCTTCGTTGGGGTGACTGCATACTTTGTCTGTGTTGTAACTATCGCCAAAAAGTGGACGTTACTTAATGTAAATCTCACTGACATTTTTGTCCTTGAAATTTTTGTATTCCTTGTTCTCCTGGCAAAAAATGAACCAACAATTACAAGCTTGGCATGTGGAGGGGAAACAACTTCAAATACAAGATTGTGACGCACACGGAAAACACACACAACTCACTGGAATGCAACATGCTGTGTTGGAAAAAGAATACTTACCCTATAAGTGTGTGTGCCAAGAATAGGGGAACCGTATGAACATGACGTAACAAACAATTTCCTTTCAATTAGTGGATTAAACAAGCAGGGACTAATCTACAACAAAGTGGAGATGGATTGCAGGATATCACAGCACACATTTGAATTTTTTTAGAATACCATAACTTATGAATGCACATAAATTGCCAAGTCAGAAATATGTTGGGGCCTACAACGTGAATTCCACCAATGAAGCTACCGACACCCTACGCAAGGCATGCCTCACAACTATTAGAAACGATTTACTCTGTCGTCTAGTGCGTGAAATAAGAATAGGCAAAAGTTAACATAATTGGAACTAATGGAATCTCAGTTGGAGGGATCACGACTGCGAGATAAGGATTCCATTACCTTTAATTTTCTCAACCACCATTCCTTGACAGCAACAATCTGACCAATAGACAGATTGTACTTCACCCTACTGCATGCCAACAGTTCGAACAGCCAGTTGTGCTCTAGATGCATTGAGTCTCAATGGTTGCACAACTATTGTTTGGTCTAACTGTGTTTCGATACAAAGTTGAAGAGCGCAACCACACGATTTCAACCGTGCTTTGTGAAACATCGATCGTGTCTATACCCTTCGATGATGGCGGTCTCGCAAGTTGCTATGAACATTCACTATTTTGCTGGGTTTCGTCAAGTGTGTTATTTTGCTATAGAGTCATGGGCGACACCCCCACGAGGTTGCTTGCGAGACGTCACCGAACTGAGAGAAGAAGGTAGAAAGAGTAAGACATCAGAAATCGAAAAGCAGCGTGGGCAATGTGCAAGTGTTATTGTACAGATACCTAATTCATTGGCGGATCCATGTCAACCGAAGGTTAGCAACAACGGATGGATGAAGGGCTGGGTTCTAAGTCTGAGATCCGTAAGTTGGACAATGCAGGAGGGCCTTCGACAGTGATTTTGCGGCCTGCATTGCCCAGTTTATAGGCGACGACCGGAACATACAAATAGCAGCTCGATGCACTGTTGGAACCAAAATTTAAGATGAACAATTTTGAAGCGCAGGTGTCTCGCCTACTTCATTGAAGGAACCAACGCCGAAAATTACGTGTACCATTCACCGACTAGCCATCGTGTCCTGTGTCTTCTCCGTTTGGTGCAGTTGATGATTTGGTTTTCGTCGTGAGGAGAGGCAGTTGAAGGAAAATGTATAGGAAAGTAGAAAGAATATTAAGGACAGTAGACCCACATGCTCGGTAAGTTATGGCGTTAACGGTCCAAAAATGACTGATACGACTAGTAAAAATGTGCAGCAAACAGGGGGCTTAGACTAGTCGATCATTAAATATGAGTAAAAGTAGTTAATTTAGACTTCAACAATTTAGTCAAAGCTTTCTCTAGTTTGAAATGCGAATAAAGAATAATAATTACTCACATTGGTTCATTTTTGTTATAAGATTTCATAAATCTTCCTTATAACATATGAGAATTTGAGAGAGATCCTATTTATTTTAAATTTTAAAAACCTCCCGTAAAGTTTGTTTTTAATAACGAACCTATTAATTAAAAATATATTTCTATTTCTTATTGTACCCTTAGCCCTTAGTTATTAATAATATAATTTGAATTTTTTATTGAATTATAGCTTACTATCTTAGTCCCCCCTCCCCCCATTTCTTAAGATTTTTTTTTCTTTAAATTTGAATACTAATCTTTTTTTAGCTAAAATAAATACCACCATGCCCGTTTTGGAATCCATATATCATCGTTTACCTATTTTTTTGATTTTTTTATTATATAAGTTTTTAAAAAATTTAATTTTAAAATAAAATAAAAATAATAGTAATAGCATGTTTTTGGAATGAAGCAAAATCAAGACATTGTGAGGATGGGGACATTTTGCCATCCTACAATATATTAAGTTTAAGATATTTTTTATTACAATATCAAAAATGCAATAAAAAAATGTATCAATTTTGTTCATTTCTAAGAAATTGTTAATTTTGAAGAAAAAAAAATAAATGTAATAATTTGTGAAAATGATAAATAAATAAATTTATTTTTATATTTAACTTATTGTAAAATGGAAAATTTATTCTAATAAGGGAGGTTTCTTAAATTTTTAAAATTAGATGAAGTGTCTTTTAAATTGTCATAAACCTCTAGGGTAATTACTGAAATTTACCGTTATTCTGTATTTTTATTTATAAGTTGATTTCGCTAATTCTCCCTAAACTTCATATAAAATTTAATTTTGGTAAAAGTATTTTTGACACATTTAGTTACTAAAGCATTTAGTCTTGTACATAAGAACCAAATGAGAAGATTGAATTTCTTGTTCTTCTTCTTTTCTCTTATCTTTTGTTAGTCACGTTCTAGTTGGAAGAGTATAATTTTCATTTGAATCAAAATGTTCAACACAATTTTTTTGAATGGAATTCAGATCCCATTGTTATAAAAAGCAAAAATTTAACGATAACTCCATTACTCGTTTATCTATATAAGACAACGGTAGATACAATGTTCCATAAATAAGCACA